TGCATTCATGACCCTCACAGAGCTAGTTCCGAAGCTTAGAAATGAAAAGAAGTCAGCTGTAAATGGATAAAATGTGGTACACAAATCAGACAATACTATTCACCCATTAACATGAATTCAGTTGTGTCATGTGTAACAACAGGAAAGGAACTGAAGATGTCTACACAGGCTAGAGATACAGTTGTCAATTGATAGTCCTCATAGGTGGACCTGATTGTTTGAACTCATACAAGTTGGAAGTAGAACACTAGTTGCCAGAGTCTGTGGACAGTAGAGGAAGGATAATCATGGAAAGGATGATCAATAGGTACTAAAAGACAGAGCTGAGTGAGAAGCTCTATAGTTAAGATAGATGACCTGCTGCAATTCTAGCTGCTAGGGAAGCTGAGGATTATAGCTTAAGGCCAGCCAAAAAGTTACATGTGTGATATTTGCCTCCAGCTATGCAGGAACTAAAAATAGGAGGATCAAAGTCCAGGCTGCCCTGAGAATAGATGCAAGTTTATTAAGAAATAAAAAAGGAGAGGGGCTGGTGTCTCCAGTGGGAGAATGCCTGCCTAACAAGTACAAGTCCTGAGTTCAAATGCTAGTACCTGCAAGAAAAAGTGTGATATATTGCACTGCCCCCAAAGCTCGAAGTATGGATTTTGGAAGGCTTATCATAATGAAATGGTAACCATATTGGCAGATAAGCATGCTTAAACTTATTTTAACACTACACAACATATACATACAGGGAAAGATCACACAATACCCCATTAATATGCACAAGTACAAGCTTTTCATTTATCACTGAGGACAAATTTAATTTTTTAATAGGTAACAACCATCTTGTTCCCTATAGGCAGGTTAATTGCTTCTTCTCTAAGAAAGCAGGGTGAGGAATGTTAGGTAGTCTCACAGGGGAAATTTCCAGAATGCTAGAAGTCTCTGTATTTCTCTCCAGAGTGCTAGCCTTTGAAATCCCAATGTGACTCAAAATGAAATTGCATTATAAGAAACACATCATATGCCTTGTACTTATAGACAGCACTTATAATCCAAATGATTGCCCTTGTTAGCAAAGATCTTCTCTGACCTGATATTAACTGTGAGCCTTCATCCATGGCCAGAAAAACTACGTAAAGATAAATACCATTTGTACTTCTTCTTAAATGATGTAGTGTATCCACAGGATATTTTATAAATCCTTCTTTTTAAAGTATTTTTATTATCTTTAAGGAGTTTTACAAATCGGTTTATAAGTGCAATGAATCTTGATCATACTCTCCCTTCCTCCCAACCCATCCCTTCCCCTCGGTATTCTTAGTTTCATAGGATATGCCTTGAATATTGCGACTACAATTTCCTCCCTTTCTTTCTTCATTACTTATCATTTACAGATACAATTATGGAATATTTTTTTATTATTTCTTTTCTTTTAAGTAGGTATACAAAGGGCTTTCAATAAAACATGACAGTTGAGGGGAATGATGTGTCTTGGTTAATGTCACCTCCTCGATTGTTCTCGATTGTTCTCCACCACACTTCATTTTCTCACAAGAAGGAGATAAGGGATTGTTCAGGACAAAGAAGGAATTTGTGCTGGCTTCAAGATATTATCCTTGTAATATTCTTTCCTCTATTTTCCCTGCCTTACAGAAGTTGGGATCTTTCGGCTGCCCCCAAGAGGGAGCTCCTGTAATAGAATGCGTGCAACATTCTACGCTGACTGTTATTTTTCAGACGGGAGATCCTGAATTGACTGTTGTTTCTCTGCTAGAAAGCTGGTAAGCTTCTATATTTCACAGACATTTTAGTAAGAAGTGCTATGTATGTAAAAGAAATGGATATGTAAAACTACTATGAATGACTTGAAAATAGAGATATTTCAAACCTAATTCTTTTTTTAATTTTTATTTATTTTTTATTGTGAAAATACTATAGAGAAGGCAAGATAATGAGTACATTTCTTATCAAGCATTGTAGCCTCCTCCTTTGTTTCCTCTTCCCATCCCTTCCCAACCTTCCCCCCACCCACCAAAGTTGTAAAGTTCGTCAAACCCAATTCTTAAGTGGTGAGCGGAGTCTAGGGTATTCATGTCATAAAAGTCAATCGTTAGATATAAATAATTCATAGAACGAATCATACTTCTTTTCTAAACCTATGTATAAACACTTGTGAAGATGATGTTTTGGTTGTAGTGGCTTTATTATGTTCACCATTTATTTAAAGGTGGCATGGACTAAGGATTGGGGAGTGGAGGATGTGTATGGTCAATATACCTTATGTACACAAACTAAAGTGGAACAGTAAGCTGGGTGAGATTGGTTTGGAAAGAGAGGGGGGTAAGGAAGAATGACAGAGAGTTGAGTTTGATCAAGGTACATTGCATTCATGTATGTCCATACCAAAATTAAGCTCCCATATACAACTAATTGCTGTGAATAAAAAGCTTTAAGAATCAATCATAAGCAAAGAAAAATACCCCAGATGAAGTGATTCTCTTCAATGTGGAAAGGGTCCTAACTGTGATGCTATTTCTGGAACTGCTTTTTAAGCGTTCACTATTGTTCTTTTTTTCTTTTTAATTTTATTTTATTGTAAAGATGTTGTACAGAAGGGTTACAAAAACATGAATAAGGCAATGAGTACATTCCTTGTCGACCAATTTTACCCCTTCCCTTGTTGATGTCCCACTAACTATTATTCTTAGAAGGTGTATTTAACTCTGGAATTTTGTCTTTCTCACATATGTGCATACATATAGAATATCATGCAACTTCAAGTCTAGTTTCCTTACTAATTAAGTAATAATAATAACCATACCATACAAACACACATACACAAATACTTCATTTATTTATAAATCTCTTATTACTGGCTGTAGAACTCAATTCATGCTAAAAGACCATGTATCATAAATTGCACAAGTGTAATATCTTCAAGGGGCAGACTCATCAATAGAAGTTGAAGAAGTAAATGCGAGCCAAGAGGATAGTAGTTAGTTTAAGGTGGATATAATTCCTCAGATTTCAAGACAGAAAAAAAGAAAAGACAGAACAACTTTCAGTACTGTTACTACACAAGAATGGAGTCAAATAAAATATTTCCCAACATGGAACTTGCTATCTTAACACATTCGAGAGCTGAAGATGGATTTTCAGTTCTTGGCCTTTGTGATTTGGCTCTGGTATGAGAACAATGAGAGAAAGAATGTGATTAAAGAACAGTAGACTTTTTTTTTTTAACCAAAGTTAACTTACGGATGTCAAGGAAGAAATTTTTGACAAGTATGGCTCACATGAAATAGCCATTCTATCCTTGCAATCAGAACCAACTAAGAAATATGGGAGAGCACAGCTAATCTTAGGGTGGGAGTGTGGAAGAAGAGGCAAATTGTGGAGAGAAGGTGGAAGACTTCAGAGTAAATCTCAACTCTGGCTGCATGTCAACCTCTACTTTGATCAAAGCAGCATAGAGACCATTACCCCCATCCTAACAGCATGATAGCCAGTGCTGTTGGGCCTTGCCTTCCACTCACTGTTATGTTGCCTTTTATGTATTACCTTGTTTCTTTCTCAGAGTGATCTCATTCATGTCCTCATTGTGCTGCTGGAAATACAATGCTTGGGGAAGACAGTTACCTCTTGAGCAGTGGTTAAATATACCAGAAATCAAAGATGCTATTCCTGCATTCAGAAATGACCTCTAGAGGTTGAAGATATCCCCAGCACACCTGCAACCATACCACATTTACTATGCCTAGCATTGTGATACATGCATTCAGGAATGAAATCCTTTGACAAGTTAATCAGAAATGTATTGTTTTTCTAGCTGCAAAAGCAAAAAAGATGGTTAATTGTACATGGGTCACATTTGGCCACAATGATGAACAGAATTAGCCTAGAATGTCACATGTCCAAGCACAGGGCCAGCAGGAGCTGCTGGTTATGAGCAAGGTGGGTGTTTGCGGGGAGGTTTTGGCTATGGAAGTTCTAGATCTATTGAGAAATCATAGACAGTGGCATGTAGTGCAATCAGTTGTATCAGTGTCCTGGCCACTGGCATTCCTTAGTTCTGCTCCTCTGGCCTCAGTGGGTGAACAAGTTGGTTTAGTTGGACCTCTGCTTCATCTTTCTTCTTTTGTGCCTACACATTCGCTTCTTCTTCCTCCTTGATCTTCTGGCTAGTGGTTTCTAAGAAGATGGCACTAAGTCTGAGAATGTATATTGTTTTGAGCTATCTAATGGTCAACCCATGTACATGTGCTCATATTAATAAGCCTGAGTGATAGAGGAAAAGGTTGAAATGCAAGTCAGAGCCTTTTAGTTTATTTGGGATCTGCTAGCATTTCAAAGAATTATTATTTCACTGTTAAAAGTTTCTGTTTGCCTATTTATTTCATCTCTCAGGAGAGACAAATACAGTTAATGAGATATTATTAGTGATGAGGTCTTCATCATTCACTCAGTTCCCTCTGACATCCAAACACTCAGAAACACTGGGATGCAATTACAACTAGTAATTGTAAATTTAATTCATTTTTTTGTACTCATTCTAGACTTTTAGACACAGTTACCCCTCGGCATGGTTAAAGGTGGCATAAATCCAGGACAGAAGTTGGTAACTGATTTCATGTAAATGCAAATAAATCACCCAACATTTTGCACCACATAATTTATATTAATCTACCAAGAAGGACAGTGAATTCACATCTAAGTGTCCATAGGCACTGCTGGCAGGTTAGTATCTGGCAAGTATCAGTTTCCTGGCTGAGGAGAAGTACATTGGAAGATAGATTCAATTATACAAGTCCTTTTCATGTGTAACCCTATTAACAATTAATTTACCCACTTTGGTTCTCAAACCCATAGAAACTCAAAGTTCAGGTTGTTAGTAAGATGACCAAAATCATTGTTCTTGTACTTATACTTTCCAATTTCCACTCAAGTTCCTGATCATCGTGTTTCTTTGTCCTCTTGGCTGTAGCACACATAGAGACTCTCAAGCAACACTGATGGAGAACAGGACAGAAGTGATAGAGTTCATCCTGCTGGGACTGACCAGCGACCCAGACCTGCAAGTTCTACTCTTTATCACCTTCCTCATCATCTATATCCTCACGCTGGTTGGGAACCTGGGGATGATCCTGTTGATTCTCTTGGACTCTCGTCTCCACACCCCCATGTATGTGTTCCTTGGTCACCTGTCTGTAGTGGATTTGTGTTACTCTACAGCTGTCACTCCAAAGGTCATGGCTGAGCTCCTCGTAGGAGACCAGGTCATTTCCTACACTGCTTGTGCCACTCAGATGTTCTGCTTTTCAGGCTTTGCTAGTGCAGAAAATTACCTGTTGGCCTCAATGGCCTATGATCGTTATACAGCAGTGTGCAAACCCCTCCATTATACCACCACCATGACAACCAGTATGTGTGCATTTCTGGTCATGGGTTCCTATGCTTGTGGCGGTGTGACTGCTATCATTAACATTGGGAACATATTCAGCCTCTCCTTCTGTAGGTCCCGTGTGGTCCATCATTTCTTCTGTGATATGCCAGCAGTTATGTCTACATCTTGTTCAGATATACATGTTCATGAGCTCATTCTGATCTATGCGGCCAGCTTCAATATCTTTTTTGGTCTTCTAGTCATCTTAATCTCCTACACCTTCATTTTTCAAAGCATCCAAAAGATGCATTCCATTTCAGGACGTCAGAAAACGATCTCCACCTGTGCCTCTCATTTTACAGCTGTCTCCATATTCTATGGGACGATTATATACATGTACTTAAGGCCCAGCTCCAGTTATTCCATGGACTTTGACAAATTTTCATCTGTGTTTTACACTATGATCATCCCTGTGCTGAACCCTATGGTCTACAGCTTGAGGAACAAGGAGGTGAAGAGTGCATTCACCAAGCTTATTTCCGAGGCGAAGTTATCCTTATGATTTCTTATTTTAAGATTTTAGATGTTTAGTATCTGGACTCTCCCATGGTCTTCTCTGTACTGAGACTCGTTTACATACTACACTATATTATCAATATTCTGTACTGAAATCTTACTGCTGCAATCTATTGCTGCATAATATCTGAGTAAGAATGTATATGATATCTTTGAATCTCCTTGTAGAATACAGTATTAACTGTATCAATGTATTCAGCCAATTTCCCTGCCAATTTTTTCCTATCACATTCAATGCGAATGCATGCAAGCAGAACCTAAAATACCCAGGAACATAATAAGTCCATGCAGGTGTCCTGTATGGACACATGGATTTGTGGAGTCAGTTTGCTGTAATGAAATGTGTTTTGGTGGTTTGTAGCGTTTATTTTCAAGCATGCATTTAACTAGATATAGGGTACTTAGATGGGTAATAAGATATTATAATCTGTGTACAATCTTGAAGGTGCTTCTCAAAGAGTTCTGTTTGAACCTGCAGATCTTTATTCATGCATACAAATGGTCATCATGCAGTCTATTGAAGGCTCATCTGAATAGGGCAAAAGACATGGACAGAATAATAACCTCATGTCTTCTCTAATTGAGAAATCCATCTCCTCTATGTCTTAGACATCAGATCTATGGGCTCTTAAGTCCTTGGCCTTGAAGACATACATTAGCCATTCTTTACCTATGATTCCTGGGCCTTTGAACTCTGGATGAATCTCGTCCCTGTCTTCCAGGTTCTTTAGCTGGCAGATAACAGCACATCAAGGGTCTTTTCTTCTCTAATTACATGAATCCACACCACAACAAATTTGCCCTTTTGTGCATATGCCCATGCTACCCATTCTGTTTCACTATAGAACCTTGACTAATAGAAGAATATTTAAGTCTCAAAGTTTGATATACTTTTGGGTATTAGAACATGATTATTTGTGATAGCCTCATATTTTCCACTTTTCTAAGAGTTATACTTTGCAAAATAATTAAGAAAGTCTGTACTTCCTTTTTTTTTTGCTTGAACTAAGGGCCTGGGTACTGTCCCTTAGCCTCTTTGTGTTCAAGGCTAACTCGCTACCACTGACTTTTTCTGAGTAGTTTAGTGGAGATCAGAGTCTCATGGACTTTCCTGCCTAGCTGGCTTTGAACCACAATCCTCAGATCTCAGCCTACTGAGTAGCTAGGATTACAGGCGTGAGCCACCGTGCCCAGCTGTCCTTTAGCTTTTTTTGCTCAAAGCTATCAGTCTACCACAGTTCCACCTCTGGCTACCCTTCCCTTCCTTTCCCTTCCCTTCCCTTCCCTTCCCTTCCCTTCCCTTCCCTTCCCTTCCCTCCCTCCCTCCCTCCTTCCCTTCCTTCCTTCCTTCTTCCCCCCTTACCTCATTCTCACCCCTTCTCCCTCCCTTCCTCTCTCCCTCGCTCCCTTCCTTCCTTGCTTGCTTGCTTCCTTCCTTCCTTCTTCCCCCTTTCCTCACTCTCACCCCTTCTCCCTCCCTCCTCCCTCTCCCCCATCCCCCTCTTTCTTTCCTCTCCCTTCCCCTCTCTTTCTTGCATTCTTTACTTTTTAAACTTAGGGCCTTGTAGGTATTCTACCACTTGAACTACATCTCTAGCTACTTTTCTAGCCACTTTTTGCATAGATTACTTTTAAGGTATAGTCTTGAAAATGCAGCACAACAACTAAAACAACAAGATCAACAAGCTATTCACTATGGCTATCATTCCCAAGTGAAATGGATTGAAGTTTCTTAAGTACTCATAACTGATGAGGAATCAGCATTTCCCATTCACTCTATATAGTACACTTACATGTTGCCTGGACATGCTGAACAGAATTAGAATTTGGATTTAAAAAGTAATCTTTTTTTTGAGATTCCCATATAGAAACACTACTCCCACCACTGTAACTGACCCTTAGTTGTACCTACCCACTAAACTCTAATGAAAAATTACAGGAAATCCACAACATGCCAGTGATACTCGCATTGTGTATTCTGTAGTCTGGCCTCAATGTGTTTGTTGCATAGCATTTGTGCACATATAATGACTTAATTACACTTCCCTGTGATAAAACGCATGTCAATAAAACTTCAAGGAGTGATGCCAAGAAAGAAGATGTAACTAGAAGGAGTTTATGTGCTTGGCAAGTAATTCTGTCTCAGCCGTCTGAAAGTGTAGGACAGACTCATACTATAAAAGCTGTGTGATTGGATGAGCAGGATTTAAATGAAGTGGAATTTTTAAAGCAGTGGTGAAGAGGACGAGGGGAGGAAGACTCGAGTTTGTCTTTCTGGTTTGTCTTCCACTTGTACTACGTGGTGGCAGCTGGTTTGTTATATGGTAACCATAACTTCCTCCAGGGAAATATTTTGGATTGATTTGTCTATCTCATCATCTGACTGTTGATCCAGTCTCAGAATGCAGAAACTGTCATTAAATGGATATAATTTTTTCATTAGGAAGGAGAAGCTCTTTCATGTTCATTGAAGCATCCATCACCATAACAAAGATATGAAGTCAAGTGTGCACCAATGGATGAACTAATAAAGAAACTATGGGGTATATATATGTATATACCCCATAGTTTCTTTATTATGATTCTATTCAACTGTGGAAAGCAAGAAACAATTGTCCTCTGCAACCACATTGATAAAATTGGATAGCGTGACAAATAAGCAAGACACAGAAAGACTTGTATGGAGTGTAAGTTCATCAGGCTTATAAAGAATCTGGGAAGTACTGTTATTGGGGAGATTTTCATCAGAGGATATATCAAAGGATGCACTGTTTCATTTAGATAGCAGGTATTTGTTCAGGAGATATGTTGTAAAGCCCAGGGACTACAGTTAATAACATTTTGTGTATTTGAAAATTTGCAAGAAAATAGATCTCAAGTGTTTTCAATTATAAAAGAAGTATCTAAAGTAATACATATGGCAAGTCACTGATTTAGTCAACCAATAATGGAGAGCTATATAAAAATATTGTACCCCTCAAATGCATATCAAGTGGAGTTATCAATTAAAATTGTAGCCATGCTCTTGTGGCTCATGCGTATAATCCTAGCTCCTCAGAAGGCTGAGATCTGAGGATTGCAGTTCAAAGGCAGCCCAGGAAGGAAAGTCTGTGAGACTCATATTTCCAATAAACTACTCAGAAAAGGTTGGAAGTGGTGCTGTGGCTCAAGTGGTAGAGTGCTAGCCTTCAGATGAAGAAGTTCAGGGACAGCTTCCAGGTCCTAAGCTCAGCCCCAGGACTGTCCCCCCTCCCTACCCCCCCCAAAAAAACAAAGAAAAAATGGAAAAATAATAAGAAAGGAAGAGTTCACTGTATTTATCAAGAGTTTGTACAAGAAAAGTAGATGGGAGGGTCTAGTACTTCATATTGCAAGGATCAGACAACCTCCTTTTAAAAGAGTAACATTGAACTCTTTCTCTTTTTTGCCTTTCAACTTAATATCCAGTATGATTTGTGGCATTCAATACAGAATGTAAGGAGGCGTGAAAATATAGCTGTGTACTTCTTTTTTTGTTGTTGTTGGCATTTCAGACATTGCCTTAATGTAACATTTCCAAATAATCGATTCTTTATGTTCTGATGTGACTGGACCAGAAGAGGTTGCTTAGGGATCTGTCAACCAGGAAATTGCCCTTTCCTTTAGCATGAACTTGGAAAGGGAGGCATTTAAAATATATTGTTCAATTCAAAGCTATCCCTAGAACGAGGAACAATTTGTCATTCTTCTCCTTACCCCCTTGTGAAATCAGCCTGAAAATTGAAATTGTATGGAAAGAAGTTTTGAAGGAACAAGGAATAAACCAAAGAATAGGTCTGAAACTAGGTAAAATACAAAAAGTGGATTTAAGCTGTAATGATGGGAGGTTTATGAGCCAAGTAAATCTACATGAAATTCATATTTTCTTTTTTTTTTGCCAATCCTGGGGCTTGAACTCAGGGCTTGGGCACTGTCCCCGAGCTTCTTTTGCTCGAAGCTAGTGCTCTACCACTTGACCACAGCATTACTCTGGCCTTTTCTGTTTATGAGGTACTAAGGAATTGAATACAGGGCTTCGTGCATGCTAGGCAAGCAGTCTACCACTGAGCCACATTTCCAGGCTGCAATTCATATTTTTAAAAGACACATTCACTTGTCTGGTGATAAGAACAGAATCCTACTTTAGGAAATGTGCAGAATGCAGCAATGAATAAAGAAGAAAAGAATTTAAATCCATAACAATACAAATCACTGTTAATGTTTCTATCTATTATAATACCCATATATGTATACACACATATATTAAATTGGGTGATTAGTGCTGGACTATTGATCAGAGGTAGAGAACTTGCCAATCATGGGTGAGGCAAATTTCTTTTCTTTTTTTTAAATTTAATTTAATTTTATTTGTGAACATACTGTACAGAGGGGTTACAATTGCATGGGCAGGATAATGCGTACATTTCTTACCAAGCATTGCAGCCTCCTCCT